TACCCTGTGTCAGATTTCCTCTAAATGCTTTGGTTTCAGAGATATAAGCCAAAATCTACATTTTACCCCTATGTTCTATTTTTAGCCATGGCGGCCATCTTGGTTGGTTGGCGGGGTCATCGGACACATTTTTTAAACTAAATATCCTAACGATAATTGTGGCCAAGTTTGGTTAAATTTGGCCCAGTGGTTTCAGAGGAGAAGATTTTTGTAAAAAGCTAACGACGACGGACGACGACGACGCCGGACGCCAAGTGATGAGAAAAGCTCACTTGACCCTTCGGGTCAGGTGAGCTCAAAACGAGAAACAAGAAACACTTATGAACCACATCATCAATAGACAACTATTGAACATCAGATTCCTGACTTAGGACAGGTGCAAACAATTGCAGTGGGTTTAAACGTTTTAATGGTACCAAACCTTCACCCTTATCTGAAACAATAGCGTAACATCACAACATAGAAAGACACATATGTATTTTACAACAGTCATGACAAAAGAAAAACTAGAGGCTCCAAGGAGCCTGTGTCACTCACCTGATATTTTTGTTTACAATTGATGCATGAAATAATGCAACCATTATACTTTTGTTTTAGTTTCAGAGATATAAGCCAAAAACTGCATTTTACCCCTATGTTCTATTTTTAGCCATGTCAGCCATGTTGGTTGGCTGGCGGGGTCATCAGACACACTTTTTAAACTAAAAACCCTAATGATGATTGTTGCCAAGTTTGGTTAAATTTGTCTCTTAGTTTCAGAGGAGATATTTTTAAAAGATAACAAAAATTTACAAAAATTGTTGAAAATTGACTTTAAAGGGTAATAACTCCTTAAGGGGTCAATTGACAATTTTGGTCATGTTGACTTATTTGTAGATCTTACGTTGCTGAACATTATTGCTGTTTACAGTTTATCTTTTATCTATAATAATATTCAAGATAATAACCTACAAGCATTCTGAGAGTATTGCATGGCAATACGTAGTCCCCTTCCAGTTAAAAATTCATTGTACTGGAATGCTAACTTGATCTATAACTTGTCATGGTGTAAACTATATAACAAATATCAAGTCAATATCTTCAAGCATGATGAAAATAAACTGCTTCGCTGAGCACAGCTGGATACGCCTGCAGAGGTTCAACCCTGAACAGTTGGGGCGAAAATGGACACAATATTCAAGCTTGATACAGGTCTGAATTTGGATTGTAATTAAATATTTGATATATTATAGGTTTCTGAATAAATGTAGTCAAAGAACTTGAAATTGGTTATATAAAAGATTTCTTGCTGTTGTGCAATACACTGTGCTATTTCGCAATACTTAATAAATCTGTTGTCAGACTATAAACAAATAAAATCTTATAACTCTGAAATGTAAATTCGAAAATTCATTAAAATCAAAAAGGAGCTTACAAAAATAGATATAAACAATTTACCAAAGTCTCATAAAAAGGTTTCATGCAAATTGGTGAAATTTTATTTGAGTTATTGTCTGAAAACTGGAAAATCCCCCCTTTTTTAATGAATAAAACCCCAAAACTTGGAAACGGTAAATCTGAAATTTATAAAAAACAAAAGGGAGCTCACGTCAATAGATATAAACAATGCACCAAAGTTTCATGCATATTGGTTAAAGCATTTTTGAATTAATGTCCGACATGTTGACGACGGAGGGACAGACGGTCAGCGGTATACCAGTATACGTCCCGTAAACGGGCGTATAAAAAGTGTGGAAAACTGATTAATTAAGTGAATTTTCTAAGTCCAAGGACCATAACTCTGCACAAAATCATCAGACCAGTACAAAATTCCAACTTAATCTGTAACTTGTCATGATAAAACTATATACCAATTATCAAATCAATATCCACATGCATGATGGAAAAAAGTGTGGAAAACTGATTATTTGAATGAATTTTCTAAGTCCAAGGACCATAACTCTGCACAAAATCATCAGACCGGAACAAAATTCGAACTTGATCTGTAACTTGTCATGATAAAACTATATTCCAATTATCAAATCAATATCCACAAGCATGACGGAAAAAAGTGCAGAAAACTGATTATTTGAATGAATTTTCTAAGTCCAAGGACCATAACTCTGCACAAAATCATCAGACTGGAACAAAATTCGAACTTGATCTGTAACTTGTCATGATAAAACTATATACCAATTATCAAATCAATATCTTGAAGCACGAAGAAAAAAAGTGTTGAAAACTGATTATTTAAGTGAATTTTCTAAGTCCAAGGACCATAACTCTGCACAAAATCATCAGACCAGTACAAAATTCCAACTTAATCTGTAACTTGTCATGATAAAACTATATACCAATTATCAAATCAATATCCACATGCATGATGGAAAAAAGTGTGGAAAACTGATTATTTGAATGAATTTTCTAAGTCAAAGGACCATAACTCTGCACAAAATCATCAGACCGGAACAAAATTCGAACTTGATCTGTAACTTGTCATGATAAAACTATATCCCAATTATCAAATCAATATCCACAAGCATGACGGAAAAAAGTGCAGAAAACTGATTATTTGAATGAATTTTCTAAGTCCAAGGACCATAACTCTGCACAAAATCATCAGACTGGAACAAAATTCGAACTTGATCTGTAACTTGTCATGATAAAACTATATACCAATTATCAAATCAATATCTTGAAGCACGAAGAAAAAAAGTGTTGAAAACTGATTTGCCGGACTGACGGATGGACGGACAGACAGACAGACAGACAGACAGACAGACGGAGTGCAAACCTTAAGTCCCCTTCGACTTCGTCAGTAGGGGACTAATAAAGAGCTGCACTATGAGCGCATGATACGCTCGTTGCTTTTTCAAAGAATAAAATTCCATAACTCCTCAATGTCATTTCAGAAATTTATAAAAAACTTAAGGGAGGTTATTTTAATAGATAGAAACCAGTCACCATGTTTCATGAAAACTGCTCAAAGCACTTTTGAGTTATTGTCCGAAAAACTGGAAAATCCCCCTTTTTTAATGAATAAAACCCCATAACTCGGAAACGTTACATCTAAAATTTATAAAAATCGAAAGGGAGCTCATGTCAATAGATATAAAGAATTCACCAAAGTTTAATGAAAACTGCTCAAAGCATTTTTGAGTTATTTCCAAAACTGGGAAATCCCCCTTTTTTAATGAATAAAACCACATTACTCGGAAACGTAAATTCTAAAATTTATAAAAAATTAAAAGGGAGCTCAAGTCAATGAATATAAACAATTCACCAAAGTTTCATGAAAACTGCTCAAAGCATTTTTGAGTTATTGTCAGAAAACTGGAAAATCCACCTTTTTTAATGAATAAAACCCAGCAACTCAGACACGTAAAATCTAAAATTTATAAAAATCGAAAGGGAGCTCACGTCAATAGATATAAACAATTCACCAAAGTTTCATGCAAATTGGTTAAAGCATTTTTGAACAAGCATTCTGAGAGTATTGCATGGCAATACATAGTCCCCTACCGGGTAAAAATTAATTATACTGGAACAAAATGCTAACTTGTTCTATAACATGGTGTAAACAAAAAGAAAATATCAAGTCAATATCTCCAAGCATGACTAAAAACAGTGTGGAAAACTGATTATATGAGTGATTTTTTCAAGTCCAAGGACCATAACTCTGCACAAAATTATCAGACCAAAACAAAAATTTGAACTTGATCTATAACTTTTCATGATAAAACTATATACCAATTATTAATCAATATCTTCAAGCATGATGAAAAAAAGTGTGGAAAACACTCTAACATTAGATATAATTAATAGTTCTCTTTAAAATTAGATATGATGTAATACAATGTATACTTATTTTCAAGTTATAATCAAATATAATTAATACATGTTATAGTTCCAAATATTTTTTCTTTCATTTGTCACAAACTAATATAGATTTGTAACTTATCTAAAAAATGTCAACAAATTTTATCTATACACAATGTAATGTAATGAAATATATACCTTAATAAAAATAGATTATTATCTTATTAAGAGATTTCACTTTATAATTTTTTATTTTATGTATATAGCATTCAGAAAATTAGTTTATACAAAATAAAAAACACTTCAAACAATTAACCAAAGAATGTCTTTAAAAAAATGAGTTATCTCTCTTTGTAAAGAAATATGGTCTAACATACAAAATGTAGTACTCTAACATTAGATATAGACCATGATAACTCTGGACTAAATCATCAGACCGGAACAAAATTCGAACTTGATCTATAACTTGTCATGATAAAACTACATACCAAATATCAAATCAATATCTTCAAGAACGAAGAAAAATAGTGTGGAAAGCTGATTTGCCGGACTGACGGATGGACAGACGGACGGAGTGCAAACCTTAAGTCCCCTTCCACTTCGTCAGTAGGGGACTAATAATTGTCAGACATGTTGACTACAGACAGACTGACAAAAGTATACCATAATACGTCCCGTAAACTGGCATATAAAAACTGCAAAATTTCCTTAAAATTACCAATTCAGGGGCAGCAACCCAACAACGGATTGTCTGAATCGTCTGAAAATTTCAGGGCAGATAGATCTCAACCTGATGAACATTTTTACCTATTGTCAGATTTGCTCTAAATGCTTTAGTTTCAGAGATATCAGCCAAAAACGTCATTTTACCCCTATGTTCTATTTTTAGCCATGGCGGCCATGTTGATTCAGGCGGGGTTGTAGGACACATTTTTTAAACTAGATACCCCAATAATGATTGTGGCCAAGTCTGGTTAAATTTGGCCCAGTATTTTCAAGAGGAGAAGATTTTTGTAAAAGTTAACAATGACGGACGACGGACACCAAGTGATTAGAAAAGCTGTAAGCCTGTAAGGCCAAGTGAGCTAATGATTATTTTCTTACCTGGTGTACATGTACATCCCATTACTTGCTTTATACTTTTGTTTTTAAACAAGCAGTTAATATTCCACATATCTTATTTATACAGAACAGAATCTTACCCCAACACATGTGTTAAATCATGAACACTGCATTTTTTAGAACCATCTGTAGTAATATCCTTCAGATATTCTGCTAACATTTTACTTTTAAAGTAAATTTCTTGCAGTCTATCTTCTAAATGCATCAGACACTGCAAATAAAAGGATTTATTTATCAAAAATTAAATTTTTAGTCAATAGCTATAGCTTACATTTTTGGACCACAATGACATATGTTTTAATTGTTCATGATGTCTTATGTAAAAGTGGAATGAAGGTATATTTATATACACACTTACAAAACAAATATATGTGCATTTGACCAAGGCTATTATTATAAGGCTGCTCGGAGCTCCATACACTTTTCTTTTAAAGATCATCTTTATCCATATAAATACATCTAATTTTAATCAAAACCATTTTAACTCTCACACATTAATTAATTTTCAAATAAAGAATGCTATTATTTTACTTACAAATTCTGGACTCATTTTAAGTTTCCATAATTGTAGGACGTCTTCTATTAAGTTACAGACTAGTTGTGATGCTACAACTGGCTGAGGTGACTTCTCTGGGAATAAACTACTATTTATTTCTACAGTCCTGTTAAAAAGAATTTATAATTTAGTAAGTTTTGTATTTATAATAGATACAAGAAGATGTGGCATGAGTGCCAATGAGACAACTCTCCATCCAAGTCACAATTTGTAAAAGTAAACCATTAAAAGTCAAAGTACGGCCTTCAACACGGCACCTTGGCTCACACCGAACACCAAGCTATAAAGGGTCCCAAAAATTGACTAGTGTAAAACTATTCAAACAGGAAAACCAACAGTCTAATCTATATAAATAAACTGTTAACACAGAGATATGTCTCGCCTATTTGTTATTTTGATAATGCAAATGTTAAAATTAAAATAGCAATACTTTATCATGTAAGTTATGCAAATATTCAAAGTCAATTAACCACGACTGAAGGTACGGGGTAAACAATCTCCAAGGAAATGAGATGTGCCAATGCTAATAAAACTGCAAACCAAATACCATTGACTTTTCATAAGTCGTTCCCTTTAAACAAACCTAAACACAAACATTAACTTGTAAACTATGTAAAAGTTTCAAAGTCAATGAAACATAATTAGGGGGTGGGGTTATATAATCTCCATGGAAACGAAACTTGAAATTGCCAATACCTTTGTATACCGAATATCATTGACTTAACATTAGTGGTTCATCTTAAACTGAACTAATCGCAAACTAATACATGATAACTAAGCAAAAGTTTCAAGGTCAATAGACCATGACTGAGGGGTAGGGACCAAATATTCTCCATGGAAATGAGATGTGCTAATGCTTATACAACTGCATACCAATTATCATTGACCTACCACTAACGGTTCCCCTTAAACTGACCTAATCACAAACTAATACATGAAAACTAAGCAAAAGTTTCAAAGTCAATAGACCAATGAGGAGGGGGCGGGGCCAAATAATCTTCATGGAAATGAGATATGCCAATGCTTATACAACTGCATACCAAATATCATTGACCTACCACTAGTGGTTCCCCATAAACTGACCTAATAACAAACTAATACATGTAAACTAAGCAGAGTTTCAAAGTCAATAGACCTTGACTGAGGGGCCGGGGCCAAATAATCTCCATGGTAATGAGATGTGCCAATGCTAATACAACTGCATACAAATATCATTGACCTACCACTAGTGGCTCACCATGAACTGTACCTAATCACAAACTAAAACATTGTTGACGCTGCCACTGTCGTCGTCGCCGAAGCCAGAAACAGCATACCTTTGTCTGTGTTTTTACTCCGTCAAGGCGAGACAAAAACGAGGAAAGAGAAACACTTATGAACCACATCAACAAACGACAACCACTGAACATCAGGTTCCTGACTTAGGACAGGTGCAAACAAATGCAGTGGGTTTAAACGTTTTAATGGCGCCAACCTTCACCGTACCTGAAACAATAGTGTAATAACACAACATAAAAAGACACACTATAAAATATCATTTGAAATGGCTACACTCAATCAAAAGACATATTAACAATAAAATGCTCCGCTGGGCGCAGCTTCATACGATCGCAGAGGTCAAATCCTGAACAGTGGGGGCAAGTATGGACACAACATTCAAGCTTGATACAGCACTGAATTTGGATTGTGATTAAATATTTGACACAGCATAGGTTTCTGACACAGAATGAATGTGGTCTAAGAACTAAAAAAATTTTAATTTACCTATTCAAACCATATCATTATTACTTACTTTTATATATAAATCAGAAATAACCAATTTAAAATGGAAAATTTTAAAGAAAACAAGAGTGTGCACGCTGAAATGTCTCGCCTTCTTTACTAAGCATTGATTTTATGTTGATAGTCCTAAATATAAAGCTTTACTACAAGTAACACATAAACTTAACATGATCCAAGAAAATTAGATCAAGGTCAGATAAACCAAACGAGAAATACATGTACACCTTACAATGATTCAATAAACCAAACATAGTTGACCTATTGCTTATAGTTTCTAAGAAACAGTCTTAACCAAGAAAACTTAACATTGACCAATGAACCATGAAAATGAGGTCAAGGTCAGATGAACCATGCCAGACAGACATGTACACCTTACAATCAATTTATGCATTAAATATAGTTGACCTATTGCTTATAGTATCTAAGAAACAAACTTAACCATGAAAACTTAACATTGACCAATGAACCATGAAAATGAGGTTAAGGTCAGATGATACCTGCCAGACAGACACATACACCTTACAATCCTTCCATACAACAAATATAGTTAATCTATTGCTTTATGTTGAAGAAAAACAGACCAAAACACAAAAACTTAACACTGAGAAATGAACCGTGAAAATGAGGTCAAGGTCAAATAAAACCTGTGAGACTGACATGTACAACATAAAATATTTCCATACACCAAATATAGTTGACCTATTGCATATAGTATTAGAAAAAAAGACCAAAACTCAAAAACTTAACTTTGACCACTGAACCATGAAAATGAGGTCAAGGTCAGAGGACACCTACCAGTTGGACATGTACACCTTACAATCATTCCATATACCAAATATAGTAGACCTACTGCTTATAGTATCTGATATATGGACTTGACCACGAAAACTTAACCTTGTTCACTGATCCATGAAATGAGGTCGAGGTCAAATGAAAATTGTCTGACGGGCATGAGGACCTTGCAAGGTACAAACATACTAAATATAGTTATCCTATTACTCATAATAAGAAAGAAATTAACATTACAAAAAATGTTGACTTTTATTTCAAGTAGTCACTGAACCATGAAAATGAGGTCAAGGACAATGGGCATATGACAGACAGAAACTTCGTAACATAAGGCATCTATATACAAAGTATGAAGCATCCAGGTCTACTAGCTTCTAAAATATAAAGCTTTTAAGAAGTTAGCTAATGCTGCACTATTCCTATGTCGAGCTTTCTGCAACAAAAGTCGCAGGCTCGACAAAAAAAATGAAAAAAAATCCCCCCCCCCCCAATTTTTTGAAACCCCTTATGATTCATCACCCCCAAACTCAATCACAGCCTTCCCTTTATGGTATGGTACCTTACAGTATAATTTCAGAGAGATCCATACACTTGAACACACTTTATTGTCTGGAAACTAGAAAAATGATTGTTTTTTGGCCCCATTTTCCTAAACGTTTGGGGCAATTACCCCCAAACTCAAACCCAGCTTTCCCATTGTGATATGGAACCTTGTAGTACAATTTCATAAAGATCCATACACTTACACACAAGTTATTGTCCTGAAACTAGAAAAAATGCTTGTTTTTTGCCCCTTTTTGGCCCTAATTCCTAAAATTTTGAGGCAATTACCCCCCCCAAAAAATCCCAGCCTTCCCTTTGTGGTATGGTACCTTGCAGTACAATTTCAGAGAGATCCATACACTTGAACACAAGTTATTGTCTGGAAACTAGAAAAATGCTTATTTTTGGCCCCTTTTTCATCAACGCTTTGGGCAATTACCCCCAAACTCAATTTCAGCTTTTCCTTTGTGATATGGAACCTTGTAGTACAATTTCAGAAAGATCCATACACTTACACACAAGTTATTGTCATAAAACTAGAAAAATGCTTGTTTTTTGCCCCTTTTTTTGCCCCTAATTCCTAAAATTTTGAGGCAATTACCCCCAAAATCAATCCCAGCATTCCCTTTGTGATATGGAACCTTGTGGTACAATGTCAGAGAGATCCATACACTAACACACAAGTTATGTTTCGAAGTTCCAAAAATTATTATTTTTGACCCCTAATTCCTTAACTGTTGGTTCCATAACCCCCAAAATCAATCCTAACCTTCCTTTTGTGGTATTGAACCTTATGGTAAATTTTCATAGAGATCCATTCACTTAAACTAAAGTAAGAGTGCAATAAAATGCTCCGCAGGGCCCAGCTTGACACGACCGCAGAGGTTGAACCCTGAACATTTGGGGCAAGTATGGACACAACATTCAAGCTTGATACAGCTCTGAATTTGGATTGTGATTAAATATTTGACACAGCATAGGTTTCTGACACAGAATGAATGTGATATAAGAACTTAAAAATTTTAAATTGGACATTCACCTATAATGGTCCAATATCCAAAATCTAAATACATGGTTAGATTCAGCATATCAAAGAACCCCAAGAATTCAATTTTTGATGAAATCAAACAAAGTTTAATTTTGGACCCTTTTGACCTCAATGTGGACAAAGTTGAAAACGGGGCCCAAAAATCAAAAATCTAAATACATGGTTAGATTCAGCATATCAAAGAACCCCATATATTCAATTTTTGTTGAAATCAAACAAAGTTTAATTTAGGACCCCGATTTGGACCAACTTGAAAACTGGGCCCATAATCAAAAATCTAAATACATGTTTAGATTCAGCATATCAAAGAACCCTAAGAATTCAATTTTTGTTAAAATCAAACTTAGTTTAATTTTGGACCCTTTGGACCTTAATGTAGACCAATTTGAAAACGGAACCAAAAATTAAGAATCTAAATACACGGTTAGATTCGGCATATCAAAGAACCCCAATAATTCAATTTTTGATGAAATCAAACAAAGTTTAATTTTGGACCCTTTGGACCTCAATGTGGACCAATTTAAAAACGGGGCCCAAAATCCAAAAACTTAATACACAGTTAGATTCAGCATATTAAAGAACCCCAAGAATTTAAGAATAAAACCCCATTGAAATTGGTCAAGAAATAAGCAATTTATACGAAGTATCTTCTTTTGCACAATACTGTGCAATTGAATATTTCTTGCTATTGCGCAATACTGCACAATTGACAATTTCTTGCTATTGCGCAATATTGTGCTATTGGATATTTCTTGCTATTGCGCAATACTGTGTAATTGAAGATTTCTTGCTATTGCGCAATACTGTGCAATTGAAGATTTCTTGCTATTGTGCAATACTGTGCAATTGAAAATTTCTTGCTATTGCACAATACTTATTATATAATAATTTACACATCCTGTTTGGTGTGTACCTCCTACCAGATCATTATTATTTGCTTTTAA